TAAAGGCATGCTGATTGCTATATGCAATTAGATCAAAAACTATGGTGACTGATGGTGTTGTGGTACATTCATTTGACTTTGACTTTTTCTGTCTCTTTATATAGATATAGCTGAATTTAAAAAAAACAAAAAAAAACAACATGCAAGTAATAAAAAGACCATTTCCCCAAATTTGGTATGGTTATTTTATTTAGATGTTTTTGTTTACACTGTATACGAGATATTCAGTCTTTCCTTTGACCAGACTCAATTTTTATATTGTTTTGTTACATAATACACAATAGCTATACATGTGACTTTCTGGTCAAATGTTCTCATGTTTTAAGGAAAATCAGATATTACATATTTATATTTACCTACATGTGTTTTTGGTCTTTTCACAATAAGTTTTTGACTTTGCAAACACCCCACCATACATTCTAATAGCTGCACTAAATAGCGGTTGATAAATTGGATAAATGCCATTTCATTCTTTCTCTCTTTCTTTCTTTTTCTTCTATGATGGTTATGCACCTGGACACATTGACCCACGAACATTTCTAGTGTACTGTACCAAAGTAGGGGGCTGCACGGTGGGCGACTGGTTAGCACGCCGGCCTCACAGTGCAGAGGAGCAGGGTTCGATTCCGGCTCCGGCCTTCCTGTTTGGAGTTTGCATGTTCTCCCCATGCCTGTGTGGGTTTTTCCGGGTACTCTATTTTCCTCCCTCATTCCAAAAACATGCATGGCAGGCTAATGGAACAATCTAAATTGTCCCTAGGTGTGATTATGAGTGTGAATGGTTTTTCGTCTATGTGTGCCCTGCGATTGGCTGGCAACCAGTCCAGGGTGTCCCCCGCCTACTGCCTGAAGAAGGCTGGGATAGGCTCCAGCACGCCTGTCACCTTTATAAAATTAAGCAGATTAGGAAATGGATGGATGGATGATAATAATAATAAAATAAATAATAATAAAAATAAATAAATAATAATAATAATAATAATAATAATAACGCTCCAAAAACTAAGAGGAAGTCTGCTTTTTTGTTTTACTTACATCCTAAATCTCTTGTAAGTCATAAGAGGACATTCAAATAGTAAGGCAGCAGATAAAAGAACTAAGTTTCCCTTTACAAGTAGTACAACTACATTTCAGCAGGAGACGTCAGCATCCAGTTGTTTAAAATATTCTGGCTGGTGAGCTGTGGACCGGCTGGCTGCACGGAAACACAACACTTTACAAACATGAAATCTTTATAAGGAAACCGGTGATGACTACACAAGGCAGGAAGACAGCGAATAGCGGCGGTGGAGAGGAGGAGTACTGTACTTACTTTCAGAACGACGTGAAACGATCGCGAAGTAAACATCATTGGCGTTATAAAATGTTGCATCCGTTATTCGCGGAATAGATCAATAATGCCTGCAAAATACAAACAGTCAGACATGCGGAGTCATTTGACCTTCTATCAACAGAAAGTACCACCCGCGAGACAGAGGATGGGGGAGGAGCGGACCATACCAAAAGGGCGTCCGGGCAAGCAAAGGGGTGGTCGGTATTTGTCATCCCGGTACTGTGTTGATGAATATTCATGTATAGGTAAATAAGTGACTTAATACATTACTACAAGATTAAAATATATATTTAAAAATGAACGGGTATTTCAAAAAATACAATACTTAGAGAAATTAAATAGCCACGTTTCTTCAATGAAAATTAATTATACTGTATACTATACAGTATACAGTGTATACTCTTGTCAGGGTTACCCAAACTAAGCTTACATGGAATCTCTGGTACTGGTTGCCCGTGGCAACCACACTTAAAAATCACGTTAAAAAAGGTTAGGGAACTCCAGTTCCTCGATAGCCATATCCTGCCTGTTTTAGATCCATCCCCACTCCAACACACTTGATTCAATTGTTCATGATCGTTTCAGGCCTGTACAGAGCTTCCGGATGAGCTGGTCAATGAGGTATAAAAAAAATGAAATATCTAGCATGTAATTTGCACATACTGTATGGACGTATTTTGTCCATATTCAACATTGCATTTGCATCAGGAACTATGTGGTCCAACGGGGCCTTTCAGTTACCCTAATGAAAAATTGTGGCCCCCTCTGGCATTAAAGTTGCTCGTGCTTGCTTAACAGGAATTCAGTCCAAAATTTCAAGCAGCTAAACTGCAAAAAAACATATATTTTCATAATCCATCCATCCATCCATTCTCTGATCTGCTTATCCTCATAGGAGTCGCGGGGTGTACCTGGAGCCTATTCGCAGCTGTCTTCGGGCAGTCGGTGGGGTACACCCGGAACAAGTTGCAGGCCAATTGCAGGGTACACAGAGATGAACAACCATTCACGCTCACAATCATATCTAGGGAAAATTTAGAGTGTTCCATTAACCTGCCACGCATGTTTTTGGAATGTGAGAGGAAACCAGAGTACCCGGAGAAAACCCACGCAGGTATGGGGAGAACGTGTAAACTCCATACAGGAAGGCCGGAGCCGGAATCGAACCCTACACCTCTGCACTGTGAGGCCGATGTGCTAACCAGTCGATCACCGGGCCACCTATTTTTATAATACAATAATTATCTTGAGTTTATACTCAAGTATCCATTGCAAATGATGCAGAAGGCTCAAAGCAGAGAATACATGTCTGGTTACATTGAAAATAATAGGACTTCATGCCCACTGAGTTGCAAACTTGATTTCTTTAGTATAAATGCAGACTTGTTCGTTCATTGATTGATGGTGCACTTCAGCAGTGTGGGGCTAAAATCAATGAGCACTGCTCTGGAGCCTGAAGACTGAGGGTGAAAGGGTGAGTCCATAAAGTCAGCAATGCTTCTTGCTTGAAACACCCCTGGGCTCAGGCATATGTAAATGGGGGACACATTGTATTTCTTTTTAAATAACTTGCTGTATTTTCATGGGGGGTAGTTTGTGCCTTTCAGTTATTGTATAAAACGCGGGTAACACCCCAACAATATTATATTGAGATCCTCCACAGCACAAACATAAGTTACTGTCGGATTTTTTTTTCATTCCCAACCTTCGAACATAAATGAGAATGCATGAGCATTTCAGCATCAAACCCCCAATCTTTCAGGTGGATTTATCAAATCCAAACCAACATCCTGTCACATGTGAATGCCCAAGCAGTATTTTGGTGAAACCAAAGTGTGGAGTCAGTGGAGACATCCAACTAACTTACTCTAAGTGATACAATATATACACAACAAGAAAATGGCATTTCAGTGATGATTAATGCAATCTGAATTGCTCTCCAAAATTGTCCTCTTGGTGTTATAGGTTCTTGCAGAGCAAAAGTGAGCTCTGCTCTGCAAAAAGCAATTTTCACTCACTACCCCCGTTTTTTTTTTTTTTACAGACTGTCCCACTACATAATGAATGCTCACAAAAGGTGCCCTATAACCAAGGATGAAATATATTGTTTAAGACTTGGTTGAATGTCAGGACTGGAGGGAGAGAAGCAGCACCTAAAAATGACTTCTGCCCCTAGACATGGCGCAAATGGAAAAGACTGTGTCAAGGTGACCTGGAACTGAAAGGATGCCTGTTTGCAGTGTGTGCACCGTATGTGAGCATGTTACACATAGCTTGAAGGAAGATTCGTGGTTCTATTATTTATGAGAAATGCCTAATTAGAATAGCAAAGCGTACAGAGCAAAGAACATTCTCTTCCTTTCTGTTTGTGCTAAGGGACATGTATCATGTTTATTCAAGAATATGAAAAAACGGAGTAAACTTTGTTCAAGTCCAAATCTTTGCTGGAATGAGTGGACTTTCATTTCCCAACATTCCCCCCCCCCCAGTAATTTTGATTATGTCTCAGCCTAAACGATGTGGAGTTGGATTTAAACCAAAAATCTTGATCAAACATGTTTATCACCCTCGAAACCAAAACAACCCACCCACATGGCCTACACATAAATTTCCAGCCTGTTAGTGTCTCAACGCCTGACATTCATTATTTCTGTCCAGCTTAACATTTTAATGATGAATGAATTCACAGCATGGTTTCAGTTTTCAGTCACCTACTAAACTGGGTTCACCATTGAAGTTCTGTTTTGTCCAGATCATGGGTCACCTGCAAGGGTGCCCGCAGGTACCATGTAGCCCTCAAGGACCACATGAGTAGCCTTCAGGTCTGTTCCAAATCTATCTCACCAGTGATGGGACATTGTGATTTTCTAGCAATGTTGTGGAAGTGATCATTTAAAACTTTGAACGCTCTAGAGATTTCTAGATCTAATGTGTTCCTAATTTATCGTGAAAAAATTAAAAATGAAGTGTTTCCACTGTCCCCATCCCCTCCAACTCAAAAGAGCAGAACATTTTATGCACCCCTTTCACTCTGACATCTCTCCTTGCATGCCTGCTGTGTGATTTGGTTCTGGGTGAAGTGCAACACAAAAATATATGGGAGAGTGTGCGGTAAGTTGAATTTTCCTTTGAAGAATTACAATGAGTATAACGAATTACAATGAGTATAATAATAAATTAAAATTAAAGCCTCAACTTCTAGTTGTAATTATATTCATAGTTATTTCAGGAGGGGGACGTGTTCCAAATCTGCAGTCACTCATGGCTAAATGCTTATAAAGAATAAGAGCTGTTCAAGTTGATGGAATTTTTACATGGTGATAATTCACGATGTAGTCTATGTATCTACAGGCAGAGAACATTGGAGTGAATATCTAGTACACTGCACTGCTACGAAAACAACTACCGGTACTACTTCTCCTACGACTACTAACATCGAATTAAATAGGTTCCATATATTTGTTTGACACCTGAATGAATTGAAATAAATTTGTTTCCATAAGGGGAATGGGTAGAATGGTGAGAACAGTTAAGGGTGATCGCGTCACTTTTAATCGTAGATTATTTGTAATTACAGCATATGATATCATTATCCACAATGTATTGCACAATTCGTTACTCGGCAACGGAGCAACGCGTTGACCTGAGATGTTTGTCCTTCACCGGCTTCTGTATAACAACCAGGAAACGACTGGTTCCTTGCCACCACCGCTGGTCTTTAAGTTATTTTCTTCATTCCGCTTACCTGTCGTCTGTTATATTGCTGATCGAAATGAAAAAAAGATCTGACGCTGCACCCGGTGCTTCTAGAAAGGTAAGTTTGATACTTTCGATTTAGAGTGAACGAGTAAATTTCTAAACGTCAAGAATTAACACAGAAGTTCTGTATGCTACCTAGAATGTTAAAGGATGTGCAAGTATCTTTGCAAATCGCATGGTATGGGGTCTCTCCGAGCACTCCGGTTTCCTCCCACGTTCCAAAAACATGACTGGTAGATTAACTGAACATTCTCTATTGTCCCTAAATTTGACTGTGAGTGTGAAAGGTTGTTCGTCTGTGTGTGCCCTGCAATTGGTTGGCAACCAGTTCAGAGTGCAGCCCGCCTCGAGGTCAGCACGCGTGGAACCCTCGTGAGAATAAGCGGCTCGTATAATGGATGCATGGATGGGTGAAAATTGAGATATGCACACTATGGGATATGCATTTTCTAACGTTGCTAGGTACTAAACCTTCCAATCCAAAAAGTGTTCAGATCAATTACGAATTTATGCCTGAAGTGAAATGGTCTTCTGCTGATTCATGAAAGCCAATACAGTACTGATGTCTTTTCTTTGACAAATGTTACATTTTCTCACACTGATTCATTTTTTTTGTACAATTTGTTAGCATTTCAACACTTTATTTGCCTTTATTTTTTTAATATGATTATTTATTCTGGATACTTTTTGTTCTAAAATTTAGGCAGCAGAAGATGGACAACGCAGCAAAGTGGAGGTTAAAAGCAAACTTTCTCACAGCTCTGTGCTCATCAACATTGGAAAGTGTTTGCTTTTAATCATCATCATCCCTCCATTCCTCAACTATGCATCACTGCAAAGAGAAGGACAGATGCTGCTGCCAAAAGGTTTTCAATTAAAAATCCCCCCCATCTTCCTCATTTCAAGTTTGCTTTGAGTAAAACCATCATCTAAAATGTTTCATCTTTGTGTTTCGTGATCTTATCTAGATGGCCAGATTGTAGACGTCGGCTTGGGTCAAAGGATGCATCTCTTGTGTAAAGGACAGGGGAAACCAGTTGGTAATCTGTCACGTTTTTGTATTTTAATATAATGAAAAGTCTGACACCATTTTATGCCGTATCTGTCTGTATGTGGCTTCATTGTGCCATCGGGTTTACTAATCCCTGTTTTTAGTTATATTAGATGCACCAACTGGAATGTCCTCAGACATTTGGTTTTATGTCCAAGAGAGCGTTGCCACATTAACAAAGGTGAGGAATTAATGCAGTACATTCAATTGATGTCACTTGTAATTAGACAGCCTGGCCCATGTTATTTGTCTGAAATATGATCATGCTTGCTCGAATTTGACGACACAGTTTTGAAAACCGCTGAAAAAGCTGTTGTCCGACCTGTATGTCTTCCTCCTTTGCAGGTTTGTACCTACGACCGAATGGGGCTGGGATTTAGCAAGCGGCTGATGCAGAATGAAAGCACAGGGACTGAGAAGGGTTGGGGCATTTCTACAACTGGACGGTGAGTATCTAAATCCTCCAATTTAAACGTGAATCAATCAATATCTACAGTAAACTGTATCTGAATAACGAGAGGATTTATTTTCACAGTGTTCGTACCAAGCCAAGCCTTTGGTCACTTTTTATTGGGTGAAGCTATTGGACTAACCCTTAAGCAGAGACAACATTTGTTGGTAGAAGGCTTTTTTTAATGCTTGAATCTTGTAATGATTTAATGTTCAGCGCTGTGAAAAAGTAATTACTGTTGTCTGACTGATGATTTTTTTTTCTTTTTCTGTTACATATTTGTCACACTTGAATTTTGGGGTCATCAGGCCAATTTTAATATCTCACACAACCACCCCAAGCAAATACAAAATACAAAGTTTCGAAATGATTGTTTTGTTTATGAAGGGAACTAAAATCCAAATCTTGTTGAATCATGAGTTAAAGTGGATTTTTCAACATTGTTGGAAGTCGAAATTCAATTTCACAGGCCTGCTTACAACCAGATTTGTTTAATTGTGAATTAAATGTGATTTTTCAGTTTTTGGACTTCCTAGTTCAGGTTTCTTGTGACCTGATGTTATTTTTACCGCAGACATACTGTATGAGTTGTGTTGTCTTCAAGGATGGTGGATGATCTGCACCGTCTGTTGCTGGCTGCTGAGATCACCATGCCTTTGATTCTGGTTGGCTCGGAGATCGGCACGCTCAACAGCAGGTTCTACAGTCACATACATGACGTGTAGGTTTCAAGAAGGAAATGATTGTTTATAAGTAGATAAATGCTTTCATAAGTACTCCCCTTGAATCTGCAGAGAAAAATCAATTCTTGGTTCTGCAGTTGATCTTCCATAGGCATTGAAAAACAAGCTCAAATGACCAGTTATGAAGCAAGTCGATGTAATAATGACGAAACTATACTTTCAGGAAATTATTTGCAAAACCAAACTACTGTGAAACATTGTTGTTATAAAATAATCCACATCAATATTCTCGTTGTCCATCTTGTGCAAATTTATTTGATATCAAAGCAACAATTTAAACAGTGTATTGTCTATCCACTTAACCTGGATATTGTAAACATACTGCATCCATCCATCCATATTCCGATCCGCTTATCCTCACATGGGTCGCAGGGGGTGCTGGAGCCTACCCCAGCTGTCTTCGGGCAGTAGGCGGGGGACACCCTGAACCGGTTGCCAGCCAATCGCAGGGCACACAGAGATGAACAACCATCCACACACACACTCACACCTAGGGACAATTAAGAGTATGTTTTTGCATGTTTTTGGACTGTGGGACGAAACCGGAGTGCCCGGAGAAAACCCAAGCAGGCACGGGGAGAACATGCAAACTCCACACAGGGAGGTCGGAGCCGGAAACGAACGCTGTACCTCTTCTGCACTGTGAGGTTGACGTGCTAACCACTCGACCACCCACCGACCGGACCACCTATACCGCATACAGTAGGAGAATAAATAGTCGTAATTCAGCCACACAGATACATGATTCATTTTGCGCTGCAATGATGTGACGTCATCTTTAGTAGACGTTGCCATGAAAAAAGCCTGACTTCCTTTCCCCCAAATATTTTGACCTCCTCCCACATTGCTCCTCTGTAGATAGGAGACCTAAAAGGATTAGCCCCATTGCGGCAAAATGAACAAATATTCATTTGGACATGCCAGATTTTCATCTTCGGGACTGTTTTTGCTGAAAAAAAAAAAAATCTAGCCACCTCATAGCTGTCGCATATAAAATGCCGATTACAAAACATGATGATTGCAAAGGTGTGCCTTAAGCTGCCAAGAATAAATGGGCACAGTAAAACTTGCAGTTTTAAAGGTTAAACATCGAGTTTCATCTTTTCAATGTATGCAGATTACCATGACTGAGAATTGACGCTGTTACACTGATATGTGTGTTCTCTTTGTTGTCAGGCAAGTGACAGATCTGGTGTTGATTGATCCTATCCCAGAGGACATTTTTGAAGAGGAGCAGTGGAAAGAGTACTGGTGAGTTTATTTTCATATATGCCCACTGTAAATGTATACTTTCAGCGAATTGTAGTACAACATGAGGAGGTAAAAGAAGATACTGAGGGGTTGTGGGAAAAGTGATTTTAAATGAAGATTGAAAGATGAGGAGGAAGCAGAATGGGAAGAGGAGCTCAAGGTCACTCAGCAATTTTGAAGGACATAAAAGAGTAGATAAGAAGTGAGAGGCAGGGTTGAAGAAAAGAAAAAAAGAGCGATATCAAGACGAGGATTAGGGGCAGGGCCGCGAGCTTTTCTTGAGTCGAGTTCCATACTCTTCCTTTATTGGCCTTTGTGGGAAGAATAGTTGATTATCTTTGCTGGGCGGGCATCATTAGCTTGATTAAATGGAGACAAAAGAAAGTAATTTGCTACTCTCAGTCTTTTAGCGTGAAACAGATGCGTGGGGAGCGAGGGTTATGATGTGGTTAAAACACCGTTTTAATGCATCATAAAACTGTTTTAATCCTGCATGTGGATATTACTTGATGTCAATTGGCTGGTCTTGCTTGTCACTGTCACATCATTTATCTCGTTAAGCAATTACTGTCTCTGTGGCACTGGCTTCTATTATTCATAGTTCTGAGTGCGGGGGTGGTGGCGTTTTGGAATGAGCATAATGGAAGATTGTCCTAAAAGATTGGAAGGATATTGACAAGTATATCGTGACATTCAATCTTATGGAACATGAATATGAAAAACACTCATTCATTTCTCCACAGAGATTGCAATGTCCATTCGAGTTCAATGGGATTTAAATCAGGCCTCTTACAAACCACAATTCCAAAAATTGGGATTATGTGATGGATGAATTGCAAATCCTTACCTACCTGTATTCCATTGAATGCACTACAAAGACGAGATATTAAATTAAAAGAGAAATGTACATTCAGACATGTATAGATGGTACAAAAATTGGTATATAAGTTGTTATATATATATTTACATACTGTTACATCACCCCCACACACACACACACACACACACACACACACACACACACACACACACACACGTGCTTGATGCAATATTTCAGTTGCTCAACATTCCGGGGTCTCCGGTGCAGCAGTTTGCATTTTACAAATGAATCAATAAAATACATTCCGAAATAAATGAATTGTGTTTCTGTTGGAGGAGAGTGTCCCTCACCAGTGGGTTTGTGCCCCATTACCCGTCACTTGTGTGCAGATTATATATGCATGAACCAAGTCTGATGAATAAATATCCCTGCTAATGTCTTATTTACACGTGACTAAAAGTGGAACAGCAGCATTTTATAAGCTGTATGTGTCCAATTATGTTTTGATTAATATACATGAATAGTACATGGCGGTCCCGCCAGAATCCAATTACTGTATAAAGAGGCACTGCTGGAGGAAATAAAGCAACGACTTGATTTACTCAGACATTTCATCATTACTGTCCGATTTTCAACAGTGGAGTAAAATTAGAAACAGGAGTGGGATAAGCAGTAAAAAGATTCTCAGTATGCCGTGCAGATCTTTGCATCATGGCATTCCAGTGCCTTTGGCCTGGCATCAGCCAGCTTGATTTAAGTCCTTTCATTGTCTGCATAGCTCAGTGGAGCCTTCATGTGGGCGTAGATGTCTTTTCTGATCTGGTTTTATTAGCTGTTTGTCGTTACCCACAGATAAGACATGTATGCAACAGGGTGCAGGCCTGCACCTAAAATGGAATCTGGGGAGACCAAATCAGCCCTGGAGAATGGGAGGATTTACACGTCAAAGCTCTGTTCATTAACTGAGGCTCACTCTCAAAATGAGTTCTGTTACGTCCTACCAAATGGATCGCCATCAACTCCCAGGAATGGTATTTCTGTGCCTGGGTGTGCATTTGTGTGGGTTTATTTAGATGGACTTATAAGGGGTCAATGTTCTTATGTAGAGTTTTTCTCAGCATGGCATTCATATCCTTCCGGACATTCTTCTTGATGAGAAATAAGGCAGTGGTCTAGCCTTGGAGATTATCGCATACTCCACTGTGTGTCTGGACAAATTGCATTCAGACCAAATGATCAGCGTTAAGTCAGTTCTGTCCTGCGTTCTTTGTGCAATAGAAGCCCCGCGTCTGGCCCTGAGGGCAGATGCCGTTTGATTTTACTGCAGATTTCATTCCTCCATCATTTTCATCCATTGACATTTGAAAGACGGCACATGCTATAGCTGTGGGGAGCAACGACGAGCAAAATGGAGTCACCTGTGGTTATGTTAAATAAAGATATGCCTGTCTCTTTTATGTGGGATATTCTTGTGAAAGGCACCTTAAGCATATTGCCCACCCATCAGTTGTGAAATAGCACAAACAAGTAATTTTCCTAGTTTGACTTTTTATTTTTTTTTGCCATAGCAAGTTTCTCCACCCATGACTTGGCATCTAGGCTGGGCGAAGATCTTAAAATGACGAACTGGCTATGCGAAAATTCATGGCATCAAGTCCAACTGCAAAGCGCAACTGCAGTGTTGTTGGAATGTTCCCAAACCATGTTCTTAAGTGTTAGCTTCTGTTAATTGGTACACATTTGATTGTTGGACAAAGTTTTTTTTTTTGTGGTCTTTTTTGAAATGTGTGTCACATGCACTGACCTGCACTCATTGGCAGTGTAAGTTGGCATCTTAGTGCTGAAGTCTTGCCTCCACTAGTGAAAATATATCATGGCCTTGGTAACGGCAAGCCCTCCTTACATGGGCACGACCCTCTGTAGAAGAGGGCAAAGTGAACAGTGGCTGTTAGGCATGAGATAGGACTGCCCACTCCAACATACATACATACACACATGCATACATACTTGGGAACAGTTTAAATTGGTGAAAACATCTTAATGTGTGCTTTAAAGAGAAGGCTAAAGTGGCCTGTTTCAGAGAGAAGATAAAGTGAGGGTTTCCTCAAAGCGCTTATTGTATTCCATAAGCACTCATTTTTAAAGATGCGGCTCATGCAAAGCTTTCAGCTTAATCTTAGTTAAATCTCTTGACTAGCAAAGTGTTCTGTGTGTCCTATTGCAGTGAAAGTAATTATTCTATCCCGACTCTCAAGACTGGCCGTTATTAACAAAGCCTCCTGCTGGAATTCGACAAATGCTGTCAAAGTGTATTGTAAATCGCAGTGAGGGAATTACACGGATAAAGCTCTAATTTTGTCTGGGGAAGAATTCATTTTGAATTCAGGCGTGCCACCACTCGAACAAGTGTGTGTGTGGACCATGAAACTAATTTACCCCATGGGCAATATAATTGCTCGGAGAGCAGAGACCACGGGGAACGCGCCCGTCTGATGAGATGGTCCTTACAAATTAATGACTGCTGATTGATTGGAAAATTCTTCAAATTTAATGTAACTTAATTGTAATGAGTGAAATGCACAAGAGCACCACTTTGGCTTTTTTCCCCATCGTCCCTCAACTCTGTTTAATTTTGTCTATTCATTTTTATCCTCTTGCAGCATTTCAGTTTTAGGATGAGAACATGTTTGTACGCACGCACACACACACGCGCGCGCGCGCGCGCACACACACACACACACACACACACACACACACACACACACACACACACACACACACACACACGCTGAATGACAAAGACTTATGCATTTTTTTCGCCCCCCTCAAATAAGTCGACTGAATGTCATTCAAAGGCAGTTTCATTTCAGATTCATCCTGTTTTGAAAAAGATAGTTTGAGACAGACGGAGCTTAGATTCTTTTTATCCAGTGAATTTTCACTGAGTGAAATTAATTAAATTAGGTGTATTAAACAGAGTGATAGACAGACAGTGATGACAGCAATCCCAAGAAGAACTGAGCACCGGGTGTCAACTGGCCATACATAGCGCATTATTAAGAGCTGGCAAAAGTACTGACACACACACACACACACACACACACACACACACACACACACACACACACACACACGGAAAAGAGTACCCTTGTTTCTTGAGTTTCCTGTTTATTTTAAATGCCTAGTACAACTAAATGTCCATTTGTTTGGACCAATATATCAATGACAACAAAAACAGCTCATTAGACTTGAATTTAAGACTGAAGCTCATTGATATATCTTCCAAAGATTTTCTTGATCAAAATCCAAATCTCTTCACAAGTTAAAAGATAAATAGCTATGACATTGCATTGCTATAAACGTTGCTTTTCTGTTGTGTCACTTGATACACTTTTACCACATAAAGTTTCACAATTGCAGTTAGCATTCCTAGCTTGACTGTTACCGCATGCAGGTACTGTAATACTTGGTCATAAATATTGACGCTCCAAGAACAGCTGAGTCTTGAGTTGGTTGTGGTGCAAGAAGGACACCTTGTGCTCATTAACGGCATTGCACATTTTCCTCCTTTTAAGCACTTTGAGCTACACAGTAGAACATGTTTTTTTTTTTTTTGTCCTTGCTTCTCTACTCTGTCCTCAGCCATGTCTTGTCATCCATTTCACGGATTTTTAATGGGATTTTTTTAAAAAGACTATAAATACTTTTACACATGGGACGAGAGGTGTTGGATGGCCCAGGCAATGGGTGGTCAGAGACAGCAGTTGGGTTGGATGATTTGTTGTCTTTTGTTACATTTGAAACGTTTTGGCATGATTTTTTTTTGAAATTAGGAAGGGTGCTCTAAAAAGTATTGATTGGTTTCATCCTTGATTCTTTTAAGTAAAACATTAAAAATCGCTGTTTCAAACGTTATAATCTTGAATGTAGTTAACTTTGTAACATGCAACGATAAGATAAGATAAGATATCCTTTATTTGTCCCACACTGGGGAAATTTACAGTCTACAGCAGCAAGATTGTGGGTAGAAAGAAGAAAAACAAAGTGTTTGCATTCACAAAATAAATGTACACCGTTCAATTAAGTGCAATATAAATATAGATATAGATAAGGTGGCTGTGTTATTTACAATTGTTTTTTCACATCATTTTATTTTTTTATTCAGCAGCCTGACAGCAGTCGATGAAGATTGTACTTCTTATTCTAAAATATATGTAACTTTCTGATGCAAAATGTTTTCGTCCCCCCCCCATTTGGATTATTCGTGAAAATGAATTAAGTGCCTGACATCATATTATCAATTACGTAAAGCCTCATGATACTGGCCTTGACTGTGACACCACATTCTTGTATTTATGCTTAACAGAACACCTTTCTTGATCTTTATACAATTTAATGCCTGCTAATAAGCCCTTCGATTGGCTGGCGACCAGTTGAGGGTGCATCCCCGCCTCTCGGCCAAAACTCAGCTGAGATAGGCTGCAGCACACACGCGGCCCTTGTGAGAAAAAGTGGTTCAGAGAAAAAGATCCATGCGTGGCCTGCTACGAACTGAATGGATGGTGCAGCTTCGTCTGCAAGTGTAATTATTTATTTATTTATTTATTTATGTTTTTGGGTCCACATATTACAATGTCCTTCGGTGAGAGGGCGATTCCCTTCTCCTTCAAAAGACTTTGCAATAATCACTTAAGTATCCCTCATGCGTAATAGTTATTGATCCCATGTAATAGGCTATGTTTAAATGGTCTCCGCTCATTGTAATAGTTGGCAGAAACGCGTGTAATAGTTCGTGTTTTTTTTTTTTTTTTGTGCGAGCAGACTCTCAGGTAATAGAGGACCTGCATATGAAATGAGATGGTAATGAGGAGGAGGGAGAGTGAGGAGGGAGTGGGGGTGGAGGAGGCTTATCGCTACGCCGCCAAATTCCGACAGTGAATTGCGCAGTTGTAACAAAAGTAACAGAGCGTCCATTCAGCCTGCACTAATCCAGATGGGAAAGTCAAACAGCAGAAAGTCCACAGCACAAACTCATTTCATCACTTTATTAATTTAGATATTGCCTCCTCGGTCCTGTTGGGAGGAGAAAAAAAAAAAGCCCATCTGAAATGACCAACGACGGCAAAGCGTTTGGCTCTACGTTGCTCCCCCACTTGGTTTCCTCACGTTATCTGTTTAATTCATCCCGCCAATCTTGGCTGTCTTTACCCACTAAATTTCCCTTTGACACGCATGCCTTGCTTCGCATAATCCTCACTTCAGGGCAGAATTAAAAACGGGAGGGGGAGGGGGCAGGAAGAAATTGGACAGGTGGCTGGAGAATCCTTGAAATAAGGTTCAATACCAGACCCTGGAATGATTGGGCCAGATTTGAAATGGGGGGAGGGGGCACTGATAGAAGTTTTTCTTCCTTGTTATTTTTGGAATCAAGGGGTGAGAAAAGGGTGACAGGTGGAAAATGCTCAGCCACTTTCAACTCCCTTTCGAGTCAGGTCTAAATTGTACTGCCAGAATGACTTCAGGGAAAAACTGTGGCAAGGAAGATGAAAATGTCAACGTGTCATTTTTTTTTCAGAGGTCTGATTTAAAAAGTTTTTCAACAGTGGAAGACTGGAAATGACAAAAGTCAACTTGTTTCATTTCCTGCGTGTACTATTATCAAAATGATTGGGGAGGTTTGCTGTACCATGAATAGAACTGCTAAATTGTCTCTGGAAAAAAGTTATGTGCAGCAACTGAATGTCAGTTCTCCATCTGTCCTATTTGATCTAAGTGGATTCTGCAAGAAACAAGTACCGTATTTCCTATACTATATGGCACACCTAAGAAGCATTTAATTTTCCCCAAAGCCGACAATGCACCCTATAATCCCATGCGCCTTATATATGGTGCAGAGATGAAAGTTCTCCGGATTTTCCCGGAATTCCGGGTTTTTTAAATTGTCCTCAATTTTCTTCCGGGAAATTAAAGTGCCGAAAAATTATTCCGGGAATTCGTTGAAAACATTGAATGAACACGCGTTTGAGTTCGTTGTTTTGCTTGTAGCGACACCATTTGAGCGAAGCGCGCCACAGCACTCGGTTGGTCTCTGCTGTACGTGCGTCAGCGCGAACATTTACGCATGCAAGCGTTGTTTTGGTTTCAACCAATCAGCGCCGACGCAACCAACGTCAGATATCGAAGAAGCTCCGACTACAGCAAACGCAAGCAACGACAACCACCATTCCCCTACATTGGACTTTCGAAATTTCGGCGACAGCGGAAGCCTCAAAGTCCAGATAAATAATTGAATATTGAGTATTTGAGCGCTATATGTAAAGTTATTCGTGCATAATGTTCAAGCAGGTAGACAGACAAGCAGACTTACACGCGATAGACGCGAGTGTGAGGAACACGTTCAAGTGGTCATGGCTCGAAGAAAAGGACGTGAACGGAGATTTTTTGTCTGACTACATTCGGAAGGTTGACAAACCTGGTAAGTCACTTTGATTCTCTCCCCTTTCACCTCAAAAGGCTTTAAACAACAAAGCGTACGAGGGAGAAGACTGTCCGTGTTTTGTAATGTGCTGTGTTCATTATTTTACTCTGTTAATGTCGGTTTCGGCAGCAGGTGGCGGGCTGAGCATTCTTGCTGGCTGCACACCTGCTGCCAATCTGTCTTGATTATGCACCTGGTTTATTAGGACCGTCTTTCTGGCTCTTTCTTGCCGGAGAGTTGGATGCCGTGCCACTGCTTTTGCCCATGTGTCATTTATATGTGTGTGTGTGTGTGTATATATATTAAAGGCAACTCATAGTATGGTGTATCATTTGCAGACATCTTATGGCAGATACAAAAGGAGACTGCATGCTGAAAATGAAAGAAAGAAAAGGAGAGCTGAAGAATTGAAAGTGACTGACACAACACAGCGGAATCCTTCCTCAAAGGTGACGATTCATCAATTAGCTAAGAAGACGAAGAAGACTATAATGAGGCATTCACAGGAGAGCAAAAGGAAACGAGCAGAGTCTGACTGCAGTGGATCTTCAAAGAAAAATGCAAAAAAATCAAAACATGTTTAAATGACAGAAGTGAAAGAAGTGATTTATTACTTTGGTATTACTTTCCATTATTATCAGGAGTAAAAAATAAAAAGTGGAAAATCTACTTTCAATTTTGTTTGAATTTTGTTCACAGATATCACCAGAATGCACCACAGCCATCCATAAATTAAATTATATATGT